TTGGTTATGAAAACATGTCCCCAAATCTCCTCTTTCGAATGGTGAAAATTGAAGCTCTTTAGCTTTTTCCTATCGAAAGTTATTCAAAAAACAGTCATATACCATTCTTTTTTTGGATGGACAATAGATAATGATAATTGGACAGCTATGAAAATTCGATCAGTTTAACCTTTTCTCATTACAATAAAATAGACCTTTCTGAATCATCCCAAACCCTTGATGTGTTATTTGGGAGTCTGAACCACGATGTCATGTGTCCTCAAAAGCATTACTACCTCAACGATGAGGATTGTGCTGTATAAGAAAGTTTAGTTATATGACAAAGTGTTCTAAGTTTGTTTCTTCAGACAGACTAATGAAGAAACTATCCCAATCTAAAACAGCAACTAACTATAATCTTGTCAGCACCTTCGCCAGATTTTGTTGACATTGGTAGAGGATCTTAGTAAACTCTTTTTCAATGACTCTTTTTAAAAAGAGCACCATCGATAAGGCTACTTTTTTACTTCCAAAGGTTCAACATTAAATTTTGAACAAAACTACTTAATATAAGTTTGTCCAAAATCACAAATATTCTGAGGTAACTTCAGGAATATCGAAAAACTTTTTAACCTTTCTTTATTCGAAACTTTATGTAGTGCAAGCAATTTTGATTCTCCACTGACCGCATCTAAAGAGTATTTTGTGTAAAAAGGTAATATATTTTATATTTTATTTCGGTTTTACTACTGAAAAATTGACAAAGTACGCCCTAATATCCGATTGTGAGTCTTAATTCGATCTGGATCTACTAAGCGATATATTTAAAATTTGTGCAATTTTTCACGCTGTATATAAATATAGTCTTGAAAATGAAAGCAAAAACAAGTACTTCGGAATCAAGAAAGTTCACATAAAATGCTGGAGCGCTCGCTTCATCAATTTCTCAATTATAAAACCGAAATAAAACGTATAAAATCAACTCTTTTGAAGACAATAACTATGCACGTTGAAAAACTAGCATATTACTTACTTTATTTTTAAAAATCCTAAGAGATTCTCGAAAAACTTATTCAAAACTCTATACTTCAAAAACATATTTAAGCTTTCTTTAGTATTAGTAAACGCCTTTCGACCTCTTTTACCGAATAGCGAAAATCGCACGTCGTTATCCGCTTTCGTTTAAAGTTAATTTAGAGATTCAGAGGTTTTGTTCAGAATTGATCACCGGTTCTCGCTATGAATGAAGGAAGATTTCAAAAATTTTGGAGACAAAAGAGGGCGTGGTTTAGTGAGCGGAACGAAACGCAGTTTCTTAAAAACGTATCGTAAATAAACCCGGAAAAAAATTTGTTAAACTATTGGATACTTAGAAGAATTTCTCCTCAACATAGAATTCGTACGAAGCAAGGAAAAGTGTACCTGGAAAATAAAACAGTTACTGAATCGATTTTTTTATTAAGATGCACGGAAGCACGGAAAGCAGAGTTCGAATGAAAAATAAATTCGGTGTTTCTGCACATCATTCGATAGAGAATCGAACGGCGATCACGAATATCATTTCCTCTACTCCGGAAACCCTTTCCTCGTGGAGTTATGGCCAAGGTACTCGGAGGGACCAAAAAGTTGAGTTCTGATCGAGAAAATTGGAAATTACGAGTAAACTTCTGACTTTTCCATCTCTGATGTAGAAAAAATGATTTTTCTCGGCGAGGAAAAGGAATTTCGAAAAAAGCTCTCTTTTAAGTTGAAGAGAAGCTCACGGGGAGTCGAACGCAGCTTGAATTGAAGCTCTACGACTTTCCAGAAAAGAGAAGATAGGTTTTCAAAAACGGGAAGGACTTTTTGGCCGTTTTTCTCTCGATGTCCCTGCCGCAAAGGGATTTGGGTCTAAAATCTTTCTGAGCCCATATTCTTGTTCAGTTTTCGACGCTGAATAGAAATATGTGTGTTAGAATACTCCAACTCCAGGCCGAGCTTAAAAATTTCAAATTCAAAAAAAGACAGCGAAAACGGTTTTTTTTGCTCCTTCCGAGTATTTTGGCCATAACTCCGCCAGGAAAGGATTTCCACAGCAACGAAAATGATATTCGTGATCGCCCTTCGATTCTCTATCGAATAATGTGCTAAAACATCGAATTTATTTTTCACTCGAACTCTGCTTTCCGTTCATCTTACCAATAAGCTAATTGATTCTCTCTTATTGGAGCAAATGAACTGAATCTCGTTGTGAATGCACTGCTGAAAGTAGGTACTGTATTATCTATCAATTTTTCCAATTGTTCTTTCCACTCAATTGCTTGACGTTCATTTTTACATTTAATACTTAATGTTTGTTGTAAATTTGATATTTTAATAGTGTTTGATCCAAATGTATGTGGAAAACCATTTTTTATTTGAAATTCATGATCAACTAACATTGGAAATCGTATTTCAGATGAATCTGTTCTCATATGGATTATATACGTATCTTTAATAGCAAACCAACTTTAAATAAAAAAATAAAATTATTTTTAATATGAATTGAGAAGAATACAAACTTTTTCTGTTGTGGATGTTTGACTAAAGTGCATAGTCGACACATATTATTCCCTTTTTCAAGTTGATTCTCTTTTAAACTAACGCTAAGGCCATCAACAAATGATAAACTGCTAATCTCAAAAAATTCACGCTTAAATTAAATGAAAAAAACAACAATATTGAATAATATCTTTTAATACAAAGGATAAAACGATAAAAACATACAATAATTGAATGATTGCGAAATTTTGGATGCTTGAGAACGTTATTCAAATATTCTGCTAACATAACCTATAAAATAAATAATTAGAATAACAACTATAAATTAACTAGAAAGAACTGTTGTTTAGTATACTAATACACTTATACAAGAAAGTTCACGTTAGATTTTAGTAGTGCATCAGCGTCTTATGAACTTAAACAACCGAGAGAATATATTCACATTAATGATTCTGTCTGTAGAACTAGAGGAAAATTTTTATCTCATGCAAATTCATATAATCATTTAAGAGTAATTTTTATTCGATTCAGAACAATGCATCACTGTAACAGAAAAAAGTTTTCATCTCCGATGTCGTTAAAATCGCGTCCATTCTGGACGATTACTTGCGATTAGCAATAAAATCGCCAATTATTTGCAATTCTGACTATAATCATCCATTAATTGCGATATATCGGAGATTTTTAACAACGGGCGACTAATCGGCTTACATGAAAAATCGCCAATTGTTAAAAATCATCGATATATCGCCATTCTTAAAGATCCTGGTGATTTTTCTGTTTTTTTAATAATGGTCAGTTAATTGGCATTGATTGTTGATTTTAAGATATTAAATGGTTTTTTGTTATTCACCGTTTTATTCTGCAGTAGAGTAAGTATATGAGAAACATGATTTCAACGAGAAATGTTCTTCTTTTCAGATTATCTTTTTAGTTCAGCTTAAAACGGAGTTGCTAAGGATGTTCTCTGTAGTTTCCTCAGAGCTGACTCTTTGTTTCGATTTGAATCAGCTTTGCACCGAGGAGCCCAGCTGAGTGTTGACCTAAAAACTCGCCGATTAGTTGCTATTAATCGCCGATTTATTGATGATTAAACGCACGATAAATCGGCTGAGTAATTGCTAAAAAATCGTCGATTTACTGCCGATTTTGAGTGCATGGGCTAAAATAAAATTTCTGAAAAATTTGAAAGTTTAAATGGATAATAAAATTCACTTTAGAATAAAGTTTTCATGCTTTCTTATCTCGTTTTACTTATGGATGAACTTTTTAAATTAATTTCTTCTTGAATTTCGTTTAACATCTTGAATTCGAAACGGGTGGCGTCAGTATAGATAATAAAGTATAAACAACTAATCGTAATGTAAATTTATTAGTAATACATCAGATGTCACCAAACAAGATCTGTACAGGAAACAGAGCTCCGTACACTCTAGTCGTAGATTAATAAACTACAATAGAAGAGTTTTTTGGCCTTAAAGACCCGTTTAAAAACCCTTTTGGATTTTTTGATCAGTTTTTTAGTCCAAAAAATTCTTTTATTGTAGTTTATTAATCTACGAGCTTTTTTTAGAGTGTACGAACTGAAAATTTTTTGACTTCATGGACTCGGCCTGGACTGAACTCAGACTTTCACGACCATGGATTGGTTAGGATTCGAAAAAAATTTTGGATTCACTTGAACCGAGAAGAAAAACAATAAAAAACAGGTTGTTTTTGTACTGTGGACTGGACTGGACTACTTTTTCTACAGTCCAAGGACTTGACTGGACTTAAAACTGTTTTTCATAGACTCAGACGGGACTCACGAGGGAACCTCACGAACTGTCCCATCGCTTTTTCAGCCAAATATAGTGGATTATAAGTTATCAACTATGCTGAATCCGAATTTCATAGTGGTAGCTGCCCAGGGGCCTACAGAGAGCCGTTTTCTGGAAAATTAGTTTTTTAGAAACTCTAAAAAAGTAATCAAAACCTTTCTGCATGAGGCATGATTGTAGCCGACAAATGTCTGTTTGAAATGAGACATCCCCCAGCTCTACATGATCTTTCTTTGCAAAATTATAGAATTTACAAGAAAAAGAAATTAATTTCTTCTTATTTCTGTAACTTTGAGCTGACAATGAATATTTATGATTTTTCTTGTAAATTCTATAACTTTGCAAAGAAAGATCATGTAGAGTTGGAAGATGTCTCACTTTAAACAGACATTTGCGGGCTACAATCAAGCCTCATTAAGAAAGGTTTTGGTTACTTTTTAGAGTTTCTAAAAAACTAATTTTCCAGAAAACGGCTCTCTGTAGGCCCCTGGGCAGCTACCACTATGCAGTTCGGATTCAGCATAGTTGATAACCTATAATTCACTAGATTTGGCTGAAAAAGCGATGGGACAGTTCGCGAGGTCCTCGCGTCAGAATTTTGAGTACATACGGAGCTCTACCAGAAACTATACTTTATTGTTATTCCAAAACCAAAGTTTATTTTATGCAATTCATATTGTTATAATCCCTATTGATAAATTTTTTCTAAGCAAAAGAATGATTTTCAACTTAAAATAGCTTTACTTCCTCTGAGCAGTAGCAATATATATTCACTTACGCAACGTTGATCTACCGTGTTACTATCCTCAAACTCCGTTGAAGGAGAATGGAATTTTTGTGGAAAACACGGTATAACATTCTTCTCTTGTTCCCTGAAAAAAATAAAAAATAAAAAGTATTCATCAACGACTTTATTAATAAATGTAAATGAAAAACCTAAGAAGCGGAAAAGTTAATCACAGGTTGATAATTAAAATTGACCGAGTAGGTGTTTGCACATTCTTTAGAATTAAAGTAGCATAGGCTGTGCTAATTTTCAAAAATAAATGTAAACATTGAGTATCGATTAGAGGGAGTCTTATGACAGTGTTTGTTTTTCAAAGAAAATTAAAAATATTACTGAAAACTTATATTGAGTGAAATATATCCATTTTTACCAGAGATGGGCAAGTCTGAGTCGACTCGAGTCGCATTTGTCTTTGCCTCGGACTCGGACTCGAGGTGAAAGACTCGATAAACTGACTCGAGTCACTTACGAGTCAGTCATGTGCAACTTGGGATTGTTATGACGGTGTTTATTATATTTGTTATGTACGAGAAGAGAGAGAGATTTGAGAATATTCTAAGTAGAACATCGCGTCACAGGAGAGGATTGAAGAACTGTTCTTGGAAAAATGAATCAGGAGGAAGTTTTCCTGTAGAAAATGACTCGAAGTGACCCGAGTCAATTTTTGATGCGACTCGGACCCTGACTCAAAAGCTACTGACTCGGCTCGAAAAAGTGGTGACTCGCCCATCTCTGATTTTTACCTATTTTCACGAAAAAAATATAGATTTACAATACAGTTCAAATCGATTGAATACTATTGCCGAATCTCACAACATACTATAGAAATATCAAAGTGGTTAGGAAAAATCCTTCAAAGAATCAGTCTTTGTCGATGATTTAAAAAGCTTTTTTTGCGATGAATCATATGTCGCGATTTCAGCTATCGAATAGAAAAAACCAGATATCTACATCTGTTTCATGCAAACGCTGCTGAAAAAAGAGTTTTATGCACTATAAAAAGTACTTAGACTATAATGATTATTCTCTACGCAAAATTTTGCTGATGAAACACCGCTGTCGGTATTTGTTGCCCATTTTCTAGCTCCACATGACTGAGTGCTTTGCGTATAGTGTCGACTAATTCTGCAAATCTAAGCGAAGACAATTTACCGCTAAAATTTGAGCAAACAGCATCATTAGTAAAGATATGGTACATTTTTAGAATTCCTTCATATATGATCATGCAGTAAACTAACACACTCTATCTTGGAATAGGTAGTGATCATTAGAACTGAGAAAAAAGAAAATTGTACAGTACATGGACTAGGAGTAGGCATGTACCAGTTTAAAACTGGACTTCCATAGTTATGAATCGTCTATGAAGGATTAATCAGAGTTGTGGAACGTCTCATTTTGTGGAGAAATATTTGCTCTACAAAACTCAGCTGTGAAAAGGAATTTGAAGTTATTTCTAAGAAAAATGTGATCATCTTAAAATGCGCTAAAGTTAGGAAAAGAAACTGTTCGAACAGGAGTCTTTTCTGAATTGAGTGCATTTTAGAATGTCCATATTTGTATCATAGATAATTTCAAAACTTTTCGACTTATATGGGATTGTAGTCCAAACATTTCTCTATAAAATAAGACGTACTGCAACTCTGAATGATTCTTTATAGGCAATTTATAACAAATTTTGTGGATACCCTAACACCAGATTTTAATTGGTGCATGCCTAACTGGGAGCAGTGAATTTTTTTAAAAGAAAACTGCAAAAATAAGCTTGTACATTCAAATTCATATTCATGTGAAACTGATTTTGTGTTTGTTTAATAGTTTTTAATTTTAGAATACTGTAATCGATTATATTTTTGCTAGTATTGCGGAAGAATAAAATTTAAATCAAAAGATCTTCATTACAAAAGTTTCACTCTATTTTTCTAATTTATAAAAGCACTTCAGATTCTAACTAATTACGTAGAATGAATCGTTGTTTCTGAATATCAACTTATCGACTCATTCTTAATTGAGATCACTTTTTATAATTAAAGAAATAAAGTTGATCTCAGTTTGAAAATGGCATATTCTATCAATTTTGAAAAGTGATATCAGTTTGGAAAATGAGCTTTTAGTTCCTAGTTTAATAAAATATGGATTCATAAACTGTATATAATATAAATTATATATACTAGATAGAGTGAAGTGAAGGCTTTATAGCTTGTAGGTTCCGAAGCAGATTTTTAGAATCATTTTGATTTGATTGGTATGAGACCACGTACGAATAATCATGTATCACGCTCAGTTAAATTCTCAATGTGAAATACATTGTAATCTATGGGCGTGGATAAATTATATTAAGGGGTCAAAAGAGTCTGTAATGATACGATATGAACAAGAACAACGTCAACAAAGAAGTATACATTCCAGAAAGGCAAGATCAATACATAATGATGCTGTAT